AAAATAAATAAAATAAAATGTAAAGGTGGACATGGAAAAATTCTCTAAGACATTTTAAGTAAAAATGGTTATACGACAGTATATATAACACAATTATATTTATATAAATGGTAAAAGGCCTCCATCTCACACACAATCGTTGAAAAGTCAAGATGTTTTGGTAGATGAGTAAGTATAACTATTCTTAGCATATGAGGAAATGAACAACTGTGAGATGGTAATTATGCTAATTAGTCCACTATAGCAACCATTTTTACCATATACCAATACAACATTTAACTGGTCATTTCTGGGGATGAAGAGGACACAATGATGAGATGACCTTAGCTCAACTGACTTTCTGACAGACTGAAAAGGTATACTGCACATACATCATGATTTACAGTGCGAGCATATCACAATGTATTAAAATGCCCGCCCTATATCTCCTCGGGAAATGCCAACAAGGGATGTGGTACAGCCCCTTCCTTCATTTCTGCCTTCTGCCTACCATCCCTCCTGCTCTCCAGTAACCCTGAGGGAGATCTCTAGGGGAACTGTAAATTTGACAATCATCTTTATTCCAAGCTTTGTTCCTGCTTTCTTCCATGGCTGCTCTGACTTTACCATACCTTGTCTTACATATGCATTCTTAGAAGAAAAGGGGTTTATTAATAATATGAATCCAAATAATTAAATCTAGATGAACTGTGCAGTGTTTAATTGTGCCACTACAGAGAATCACAAAAGCAGTGGGGAAGTTTCTGACTAAGGCCAAGGACACCGGCTCTCACTAATTTTGCCAGTTACCTTTACCTTTCCTGCAGATGAATATCACAACAGGGAACCCCAAACCCATTCATCCCTTAGCCAGCGCCTCACCCGCATCGCCCATGGAGCTGAAGATGCTCTCGGTGACGCACATGATGGTGTCAGTGGCTTGATCATAGCGGCCAATGGGCTCCCCTCGGCTGGCGAATTGCCGCACGTGCTGTAGGAGATCGTGCAGGGCCTGGCTGACAACGCTGGCTGCTGCACTGACCTGCTTCAGGAGCTCGCTGTCACCAGTGGCGGCCTGGCAGGCACGAACACAGTTCTCCACGGAGCGATCCACCAGCTTCCCCGCTTCAATCAGCTGCTCCTGGCACACAGGGGAGCTGATGGTGGGGCTCACAACCTGGTGTGAGACAGAAAAGCTTGGCTGTGGTAGGTGGTCTTGGTCCCCAGGGTGCCTGGCATCTCCCTCAAGTCCCTTTTAGCCTCAGCTACAATATGGACCAGGGACTCAACTAACCCATGGGGGTGGCTCCCACACTACAGTGCTTTATTTTTGTTATTTGAGAAGTCCTGTTAGTCATGCATTACAGATTTTACTACCTAGACTTTAATAGAGAAAAATTTTGGATATCTACTAATTTTATCTTCTTCCTCTTAGGATCCTCTGAGTGAGTCTTCTGGGCTCAAATAAGGTTACTGACTACCTAAAAGAATTTCCATAAAAGAACTGCCACTTTTTCCAGAGCATCTTGGAATTCTGTCTCTTCAGAGACCAGGGGGATCTGTCAGTTATCTGAGGATTCCGGCAGGGTGTCGAGGGCAAACAGGAGGAAAAGCAGCAAGGATGTCTCTGAATGATGCTTCAAATCCTCTCCTAGGGTAGGGAATGCCAGGCTTGGCTGGATCAAAGATCTATACAGCATGTGACATCAAGTCCAGACCCTAAAGCATTCCATCTTCAGAGAAGCAGGCATGTGTGGTAGAATGGACAGGGCATGTGGAGTCGGCAGGACCCGAGTTATAACCACAGTTCTACTGCTTATTTCTATGGTTATAAATTCCTTACTGACATCTAGCCATCTCAAGGTCCTCATCAATAAGGAAGGCTAATGATATTTAATTTGCAAGACTGCAGGAAAAACCTGATTAGGTGATTCTGACACAGTGAACATACCCTGGAGTGAAAGGCTTCCCTAAGAAACTGATGCCACAGGATGCAAGGCTTCTTCTGTGCACTATAAATACGATGGATTTAGGGAACCAAATGGGAGACACAGCAATTTGCATAAAGCAACAGATGAAAGGACGGATTGCCTAAGGATTTGAAACAAATTATAAAAGCAGAATTAAACTGTTTTTGCTAAAATTCTATCACGTCCCCTAAAAGAAGCCACTGGAAGCAAGCTTAAGGTATCAGACTATTAATGACTGGGGGCAGATAAGGGCACATGGCACTGTAGAAGGGACTGGGATGCCAGTTGACTTACCTTGGCACATGCCACAAGCTGGGAGGTAGAGAGGGCACATTGGGTAGCCGCAGCAATCACCCTGTTCTGGAGGACAGTGTCTTCGGCCACCTGGGCCACATTCTTTGCCTTTAGCACCAACATGGCGGCAGCATTGGCAACGGCTTTAGCCAGGCTCATTAGAACATCCTAAGAAAAGGGAATTGAATGCTGCTTTTTTTTTTCAAATCACCCTTTAAAGTCTAGAAATATGTGGCATCCACCTAAACTTGCTATCAAAATTCCATTTGATCTTCACCTTTATTACCTCATTATTTGCCTGTTTTTGAAATATCAACTTATCTTTGAAGGAAATTAAGGAAATCTGTATCTTAAACATGGAATGTTTCTATATTCATTAAATATTATAGGTCTAAATATAAAACAGGTTAGGGGCTGAGGAGATGGCTCAGTCAGTAAAGAGCAAGCATGAAGACCTGAGTTTGAATCCCAAGCACCCATGTAAAATACTGGTGTGGTGCACATGTCTGTAATTTCAATGCTATTGGGGCAGAGACAGTCAGTTCTTGGAGCTCACTGAGATACTTAGTCTCCAAAAACCAGGTGGAGAGATACTGAAGAGATACGTGACATTTACCTTTGACCTACACTACACTACACACACACACACACACACACGTGCTCGCACATACACCATATACACAAAAACCCTACAACACACATACATTTAAAAATGAAAATAAAACAGGCTAATGAGGAAGAATTTAAGTGTTGATTCACATTCACACTGAGTCTTGACAACATCTCTTGACTATGTGATTGATCTGTTACATCAAGAGAAGCTGAAAATGCATTCAGATGCCATAAATACTATGTGCTATAGGTAGGCTGTGATTCCTGGCCTCTCTATCATCATGGCCCAGGGTAAGCTGAAAATTTATCTTTGTACTTCTAGTTTTCACAAGGAATTAAGTTATCATCCAAAAGTCAGCCACATCTCTGCTTCCAGAGGGCAACACTGGACACACATAGACAAATAGCAGGAAAGCCAAGGAATGCTCTGAACATCAGTTATTCTTAGCATCTGGAGCCTTCTGCACAGGAATTAGATTATGCAAAGTAGAAAGAGAAGTTGCATAAATAAGCTAGTGATGAGATGATTAGGGAGCTAGGGGTGTGGCTCATATGGCAGAGGGCTTGTCTAGCATGGATAAAGCTCTAGGAGAGGTGCTACATGCTGTAATCCCAGTACTTGGCAGTGGCAGCAGGAGGATCCAAAGTTCAAGATCATCTTCTGCTAAAGTCAAATATGTAGGCCAGTCTGGTTTAAACGAAACCTATCTCAAAACAATGATGACAAAAAATACAGTCCAAAGACGCAGGAGCTGTGATCATTTAAGGATCAGTTTATGACAAGCATTTTGCAGCCAGGTGTGGTGGCGCACGCCTTTGATCCCAGCACTCGGGAGGCAGAGGCAGGCGGATCTCTGTGAGTTCAAGGCCAGCTGGTCTACATAGTAAGTTCCAGGGCAGCTGGGGCTAAAGGGAGACCCTGTCTCAAAAAGACACCCCCCCCCCCAAAAAAAAGAAAAGCATTTTGCCTGTAGGAGAAAGAATCCTTTGACTGCTTGGCCTCCTAGATCTGTCAACTTATCTGTCTGAATTGAAGAACCACATTTACATTTAATTTACTTCTTTACTTCAAAAATTAAAAGCACTTTATTTGACTTAGAAATGCTTTCTGTAACACTGAGTCATTGTTACTTTGAGCAAATATATCAAGGCCTTTTCCCCAGAGGAAATATGGGCAGAAGTCTTTAGTCACTCATTCATCAGATAAAGAAAAAAAAAAAAAAGCTTGATTATAAATGTGAGAGGTACCCACAAAGTGTTTACAATGAACGAGTTCATGAGAAAATACATTGGAAAGAGCGTTCAGCCTGTATTGTTTTGCATACACTGAAGAGTACATGTAATCAAAAAATTAATGAACAGTCTAAATATTTGGAGCTGGAGCTGGACAGATGGCTCAGTGGGTAAAGGTGCTTGCTGCCAAGGTTGATGACCAGAGTTCAATCTGTGGGACCCATATGGTTAAAGGAGACAACTGACTCCAGAAAGTTGTCTCTGACCTCCAAATGTGCACAGTGGTATGCATGTGCCTACCCTCCTCCAAATTTAATAAGATGGAAAAAAAAAAGAGAGCTGATTTAAACACGGACAAAAACCAAGTGGTTTAAAGTAACTGTTTGTTATGTGTGACCTTTCAAGGGTGTGTGGCAGTTCCTGGATATCCAAGGAAAAGGTCTTAGATACTTTCAAGAGCCAGTAACACTTTTCTGCCACACAACTTTTAAAAGAATTGTTTCCAATATGCCTTCATCCCACCAAAGATTAAGGACATTGGACATTTATCTTAAGAGTTTGGGTTAAAAATAGTTTGAATGCTGCAAATTGCTAACAAGATTTTAAAGTGCAACTTCCCAAAGCACATCAGAGTAATTCCTTTATTTGATAATCCATCTGTTCACACAGAGAGCAAGTCTGGGTCACACACAACCACAATTGATGCAAAGTGCTTTGTTAGAGTTGCTTAAAGAAATTCTGTTTCTATTAATTTTATCCAAAACAAATACAGTTAGAAAAAGAATAGGATACTACAGTTATAGCTGCTGACAAGGCCTTTGTCAAATCTTTCAACAAGACTACTATTATGTAGCTTGTGTAAAATAATCTTTGTTAACTCTGGGAACATGTAGTACATTGAGAATCCAAGAAAAGCTCCATGATAGGACCGAGAGACTCAGAAAAACAGAGCGAGAAATCCAGGGCCAGCAAGCTGGGGACCCACGACCATAGAAGGCTGAGGATGCCTCACCGAACTGTTCCTCACTTAGAGACCTCACAGGAACAGGAACATTCCATTCACTTTGTCCCTAACCTGCTGCCCTAGCATAACTGTATAGAAACCATCACAGGAAGCAGAGTCTGCACCTCAACCCAGTGGGATTTATCCAGCACAGGGAGAAGGGGCCACAGCACCTCTGAAGAGAAAAGCCGGAATGCCAGATGAAGCTGAAGGGGAGCTTTTTGTTCTCTTTTTATAAACTATCATGATGTCACTGACCAATGATGAGGTAGTCAAAGGGGATGTTACTAAAATGTTATTTTTCTGAATTTGGTGATAGTATGGTGTTAGTTCTTACACATTTGAAATTTCTTGTGATTTCATCTCTCTAAATCTCTCTAAATCAGTATTTCATATAGTTATATGCAAATAAGACATTTAGAAAACCTGTTTTTACAGTGAAGACCAGGGCTATAGATGTAGCTCAGTTACTTGAATGGTTGCCTAGCACACATGAAGCCTTAGGTTTGATCCCAGCAACGAAGTGGTATGGTAGTGCATCCTAGCACTCAGGGAATTGAGGCAGGAGGATCTTAAGTTCAAGGCATCCTCAGATACATAGTCTGATACATAGTTTGAGTCCAGCTGGAGCTATACAAAGACGTGCCACAACAAACAAACAAACAAACAAACAAAAACGAAAGAAACAGTAAAGTCAATGAATGAATTCTGAAAATCTCCATGCCGTGAACATGGTAGATCTGAAAAAGGGTGTTTATTCTCCAAGCAGCCTACAGTGGAACTATAATTTTCTAATTAGGATGGATTTATGTATTTCTTAGAGAATTTGAGGCTTAGGAAGAAGAATAAGGGGCACTGGTCTCCACTTATGTGAACAGAGCTCACCCTTCTTGGAACCCTAGTAGCAGACCTCTCTGCACACCCTCTCTGTGGGGTAGGAAAGGAGCAGACAAGCTGAGATTTCGTCTGAGCTGCAATGTGATGATGGTGGCAGGGAATCAAACCAGCTGCAAACAATGGCAACAGCTGTTCACAGAGGACAAACAGCATATGTCTCTAGTACTGAAAAATGAGGGTCATAAAAAGCTAAGTGTGATGATGGTACTTACCTACACATACTACCACTGTTAGCATTTGGGAGGCTGAGGTGGGAGGATCATTAGTTTGAGGTCAGGCTGGGCTACACATGAAGATCTTGCCTCAAAAACACAAAACAAAGGCTAGAGAGATTGTTTAGTCAAGTGTTTATAGTGTAAGCAAGAGAACCTGTGTGATATCTAGATTCTACTTTAAAAAAAAAAAAAAAAACCTGGGCACGGTGGCATACACTTGTAATCCCAGTACTAGGGAGGCTCAGAACCCAGGGCCTTGCTGGCTAGTCAGCCTAGCTGAATTAGCAAGGTCCAGGTCCAAGTGAGAGACCTCCTTTCAAGAACAAAACAAGATATGACAGGATCCTGAGTAACGATATCAAAGGTTGACATCTGGCCTCTATGCACATGTGCAGGCACATGCAACTGCACCTATATATACATGAACATACATGCACATACACACAAACACAGAACAAAAATAAAAACAACCATTTCAACAACAAAAAGAATGAGACCATTAAAAACTACTCCCAAGCTGGACATGGTAGTGCACACCTTTAGCCCCAACACTCTGGAGGCAGAGGCAGGCGGATCTCTATGAGTTTGAGTCCAGCGTGGTCTATATGGCAAGTTCCAGGCCAGCTGGGGCCACAGGGAGACCCTGTCTCAAAAAACAAAACAAAACAAAAACAAACAACAACAAAAAGAAAACAAAATAACTACTCCCCAAAGAAATAAAATCAGACTGGCCAGGAATAATATATATGGAGTTGAGTGGCCAATACAAGGGGAATTCATGATGAGTTTACCCTCTTTTGTGTTTACAAAATGTCCAAGAAATTGATGAACAGCCAGAAAGGCTAAATAAATGCTTTAGGAGGATGGTTTGTGATGTAAATAACATGCATTTTATGGCAAAAAAATATGGTTTTTAACTGCCACAAAAAGACCTCACTACTCAGATCACCTCCTTTGGTCTTATTCTGAGCAGCTCAAGGAAGACTGGGTGTGTTTTTCAATACATCCTCCCTGTTCAGCTCAAACCCATCATGCAGACTCCTCTTCCAGGACTACAAGGTAGTAAGCATCTTACTTGGAACCGCTCATCTGTCTCGTTCTCTCCAATCTGTCTCAGGAGATCTCCACTGGCTTGGCCGATGCTTCCAGCAGCAGTCAGAACAGTCTGTCGAGGCTACAAAAACAGAACACACTTTGGTTGGAAAGAAAGTGCATTTCCTCCAGTTTCACCACATGACAGAATAGAGAAGAAACACACATGACTGGCTCCTCCCACACAAAAATAAAGATCTTGTGTTGTTTGCCAGACCAAGAGACTAAATAAATACATACATTAAATAAATAATAAATAAATAGAATCCAGGTGTAATTGAGGCAAGAAAACACCCAGCGTCTCATCAACCAGTAACAGGTACAGCTATAAATAAGATGGTATGTGCTGTGTAGAAATTTAGATGCATATCTGTATTCCCTTTTAAATATGTATTATCATGGGGGTTGAGTTCCTGGACACATCTAATGAAGAACCCCTTTGCAATACTTCCTACTAAGAGTACAACCCTTCCCAAATGCTGAATAGTACATGACCCATTGCAACAACTCTCAATACTATGGTGTGGTACTTTGCCAAATGAGGATGGCAGAAAGCTCTCAAGAAGTCACAATCCTAAGGTTGCAGATGTCTTATTTGAATGTCAAAGCATGAGGTCACCTCTCCAGAAGTAGGCTGTACAGCCTTCAGCAAGTCAGACACGGCCCCAGCAAGGGTCCTGGCAGCTCTGAGCAGGTCCTCTCCACTGCCCACATCGTCATCCATTAGGGCTGCCAGCAGCTTCACCCCCTTGGACATCTCCGTCAGGTTGGAAGAGATCGTGGTGATTGCACAGCCCACCGCTGTGTAGTCAGTGTCTGCAGGGTCACCTGAGACAGAGAAGGACCAAGACAAAGGAGGGTGGTGATTAATGAGGAGGACCCAGCATAGTAGGAAGTGAGTGGTTCTGATGAGACTTTCTCAAAACCCGTATTGGTAGGAGCTGGTCCTCTACCACCTAGCAGGTGTCAGACACAGAATTCTGTAAGAACCAGTGAGAAAGAATTCACCTTGTCTCCAAGGGCTTCAATAAGGTCCTCTAACCTGGAGGCCTCACATACTGAGATACTCCTTAAAAATTCCAAAGCAGGCTAGGGAAACATTTCAGTCAGTCAAGTGTTTCCTTGCAAACATCAGAACCCGACTTCAATCCCCAAAGCCCACTTTAAAAAAATGCAGAACCAATTATGACTAATAATAATCAGATATACACAGATTAGAGATGCATGCACCAACATCTCAGTGTTAGTAGCAAAAACAATGAGTCTTTCTGCAAGGAACAATATATTCTAAAACAAAATGGAGATCTTTTTTAAAGGTTAAAAAACTCATTCAATTTTATGCCTTACAGGGCTTATACTGAATTCAATATTGTGTAACTGTATTAACTCAACTGTGAACCTAGAAACTTGCACCCACGTGTGAAAGAGATGTACTCTTGCTCTGGAGTGTGCTACTGAATATGTTAAACCTATAGTGAAATGTTTCCTCTAATCATGTAGTTATTAAAAATGAAAAAAAATGATTAAAAAAAATAATTAGTAGATGTGAAAAACATTACCATTAAAATCTACCTGATGACTTTATATCTATGCTTAGATGCCAAGGAGCTCAGAAAATAACCGACTGTGACTTGTAATAATCAGATATATAGAGATTAGAAACACATGTGCAAACATCATACTGTCAATTGCATTTAAATGAATTTTTACTGGGGAACAGCTGGGGGCACAGACAACACAGTGGACAGTATCAGGGATGACAGAGTATATGGGCTCCAGTCGGGGGAGGGGCTATGGGAGGGTGCCACTTGGGATGTGGGTATATAGATGAATAAGATTGTTTGGGATGTTCTGTATGAAATACACACACACAAAATCAATCAATAAAAAAATGTTATATTTGAGGAAGAAGCATAAAAATTTGCTTCATGTTAATTAGTAGATGTGAAAAACACTACCATTGAAATCTACCTGATGACTTTATATCCATGCTCAGATGCCAAGGAGCTCAGAAAGTAACCGACTGTGATTAGTAATAATCAGATACATAGAGATTAGAAATGTATGTGCAAATATCTTAATGACAAGTGAATTAAAAATGAATTTTTCTGTATGAAAAAAAATGCAGAGTATGGTGCCACAAGCTTGTCATTGTAGTGCTGAGGAGCAGAGACAGGCAGATCCCTGGGGCTCGCTGGCCAGCTAGCCTAGCCTACTTGGAGAGTTTCAGGTCAATGAAAGACACTGTCTCAACAAACAGAGGATGGTGCCTCAGGAATGACATCTGAGGTTGCCCTCTGGCTTCCACATACATGTGCATGTGCATCCCTATACATGAACATGCACAAACACAAACATCATATACAAAAACAAAATAATTCCAAAGCAAGACTCAGCATCCTGTGGCCTTTTTTCTTTAGGCCCCATCAGACGCTCAGGGGGTCACTTTGGTCCTGAAACACTGGTACACTGCTGATAGATGCCAAGATATTTCCTAGCTCTCACCAGGCAGTGCAAGGTTAGGAGTCAGTCTTTGTCATAGGAGACAACTGCTGGACAAGACAGGAAGGATGGATGCTTGGCATGTCCATCAAAACCCTTTGTAGAATATAAGCTCCTGGAAGGGAGAGACTGGCCTCAATAAACAGTGAAGCATGTTTGCATGCTGACAGACAATAAGTATTGCTTTTTAATGGTGATATATGATATCACAAAAGAAAATATGAGATGTTCCATACTTTTCACTTGGATCATTGGGAGTAAAAGCCTAAAGCAAGCCAGATGCCTAAAAATAGACTGTCTTTTCATAATATAACAATCTGTTGCTTCAATCAAAGAATATAAATATTTTTTTTGCATAAAACCACCATGCACCACAAATCGTTCAGGGACTTACCAGCCGTGAGGTTAACAACTGAAGCCGTTCCAGCTGTAATAGCATCGACTTGAGAATGGATTTCATGTTTGGATTCATCTACTTTGTTCTGAACCCATACCCTAGATGCCTGCAAAACCAGACAAAGGCATGACACAATCACTGCACAGAATTACCCAGGAGACCAGAGAAGTCTCGCCATATAATGAGAGCAGAATTTGGCTGTAGTTTCCTTGTTGGGCCAGCATTGAATGGGTCCCTGAGTCATCTTAAACAATATCCTGAACAGGCCTCGTGCTTCTTCAGAAACACTGAAAGGCATGTAAATTCTGTCTTAAACTGCAATTAAAAAAATAGCCTTTTAGAGCTAGAAAGATGGTTCAGTGGTTAAGAGCACTGGCTACTCTTACAGAAGACCCAGATTCAGTTCCCAGTGCCCACATGGTGGTTAACAACTGTCTGTAACTCCAGTTCCTGGGCAGGGGATCCAACGTCCTCTTTTGGCTTCTGCAGGCATTGCACACCTGAATGCACTTTCACACATGTAGGCAAAACACTCAAAGACATAAAATAAAAAGAAAAATTTAGGAAAAGAAGTTCTATAGGGCTTTATCTAGGTAAATAGAATGAAAGAGTTAAAAAACCATCTATATCTCTTTCTCAAAGAATCAGGGAACACTGCAGAAAAGAGAGGAAGGAAAGAATATAAGAGATGAAGAAGTAGAGCTAGCTGTGGCATACTATCCTTTAGGACAGCTAGGCATGACGTGGCCATAGCACTCATGACCTCCCAGCAGCTTTGATAATCTGCAAAGACCTTCATAAGACTGGGCCTGTCATGAAGGCTGGAGAGGTTCACAGGGTCTCAACCGTCCCTGACAGTTAGTAGTTGCTGGAAGAGATGGACATTTCCTCCAGTTGTGCACTAGCAAGTGGCCCATGTTAACCATACATAACCCTTTATTCATACCCTGATGAATAACACTGATTAAACTCAGTGGTATGTACAACAATAACAACAATAACAACCAGCATGAAAAAAGAAGAAAAGGGATCAACAGGAGTGGGAGGAGAATGAGAGGGTAATGAGGGTGAATATGATAAAACTACATTATATATATGTAGGAAAAATTCATAATGATTTCCCATTATCGGGCATAATTAATATATACTAACAAAAAGAAAAAAATCTCATCATAACACCATATATCAACACTAACACTTTTTTTGGTTTTTTTTTTTTTTGAGACAGGGTCTCCCTGTAGCCCCAGCTGTCCTGGAACTCACTCTGTGGACCAGGCTGGCCTTGAACTCAGAGATCCGCTGGGATCAAAGGCGTGAGCCAACATGCCCTGGCCAACACTAACACTTTTAATTGTCATACTGTCTTTATGGGAACAGGGTTAGAACCAGGGCATTTCAGCTCACAAGTGTTTCTCATGACATGAGGTCTCATAGCAACACAAACAATCCTGAAGACAATCAAGCATCATACTCATGAGCAGGTGGTGTCTTTCCTGGTAGGTCTGAGAGGACCAGCCAAGACTCTGGCTCTGCATCCAGCTTTACCTCTAACAGGTGACAGCACATAGGGAATTATAACCCTGGTTCTGGGCCTTACCTTTCTTCTACTGTATAAACTAAAAAAATTCTCAGCTCTTATATTTTATCAAAGCCTATCAGATGTATTTAACCTGCAGACCATGGGTTACATGTGGTCAAGGACAGCTATGAATGTGGCCCAATGTCAAATTTATCTAAAACAGTATAAGACTTTAAATTTTTTTCTTTTTCTTTTTATTTATGTGTATGAGTGTTTTGCCTGTGTGTATGTAAGTGCACCTGTGCTGTGCAATGCCTGCAGAGGCCAGAAGAGGGTGTCAATACCATGGAACTGGAGTTATGGGTGGCTGTTATCTGAATCCAGGTACTCTGCAAGAGCAGTCAGTGCTCTTAACCACTGAGCCATCAATAGCCCCCCCCCCCCTCTCTCTATATATATAATGACTTGGTTATGCAGTTCTTCAACATGAACTGTGTGGATAACAATGTCATGTTGCAATGTCAAAAGGCTGACATGCCTGTTAGAAAATTCTGTATTTTCTGGTATATCAGAATTCGCCTAACAAATGATGATTTACATGATGACCCTTAAGACACTGATCTGCTCCCCAACCTCCCCCAAATATTAATCTAGGCTCAGAATAATTATATGTTACCATATTGCATTCTATTTCTTTGAGAGCTGGTAAAGGAGGACAGTTACCTTCAGAGACTGTAAAGCTCTATCCTATAGGTATCCTAGATAGGGAAGCTCACCATCATTTTTACACTAAGTTCCCCAGAGAAAAATGTTACATTCAGGGACTTGAAAAAAATACCATCAAGGGCACAAGCACACCAGTACAGAGGTGGAGAACAGTGTTCAGAGATAATTTGGAAGGTTGTGATCTTAGCTGGGCAAGATGAGGCTACTATAGAATGCATCTTACTTCTGGCTTCTGTGTTGGTTATTGGTCTATCTTACTGCAGTGGTTTCCTCCTCAACTGCCAATTAGAAGAAGAAATCAAACAAATAAACCCCACTGATGTCCAGGCCCCACCCGCAGTACCACACTTTGCTGTAATGCTACACAGTTGGTTCCAGTGTGCAGAGCTGGGAGGAAAGAGGGGGCAAACTAGTGCTTTTTCAAACTTCAGTGTGCCCACAAATCACCCACGAAGCTGGCCAATAGGCAAACTGACTCAGGATGCTGGCAGACCTATGATTTCTACCTCTTGCCTAAGACTGTGGGTAATGCTGGATGCTGCTGTCCTATGGATTATGTATGACCTGGAGTAAGGCCTTAGCTCATTTCCTGCAGCAGCAGCATTCACTCTCTGCTGATCACCTCACAGTGCTACAAGGTTCAGCAGTACTGTGGTCACACAAGGATCCACAAAGCAGCATCCCCAGACAGAAGCACCAACATCACCTGGAAATATGTTGGAAATGCACATTCTTAGGGCCCATCCCAGACCCACTACATCAAAAACATTAGGGCTAGGGCCCAGAGACATGTTTTAACCAGCCCTCAAAGGGATCCTATTGTATGTTAGAATTTGAGAGCTGCTGGCAGAAATTAAAATACCAAAGCCTGCTAACAGAGTTGAGCTCCTACTAGGCACCATGCTAAGAATTAGATCATCACTTCTTCATATCAGTCCTATTTACAGATGATAGAGTGACAGCTCAAGGGAATGTTGCCCAAATTCACGCAGCCAGTAAGTACAGGAGCTGGGATCAGTGGACTCCAGGGTCGAAGTTCTTGGCACAGCAGTCCTACCAGTAGCAACAAGTCTCTTTCCTAATGAGTACAATAGTGAAACAAAGACCAAACATCTTTGTAAGCACATGGCCTTCCTCATCAACCGGCTGGAGGCAGCTTCATCTAGTTTAGCAAAGAGAGAGCATATATCCTTATTTTGCACCAGGACAGAGACAGGATGAGAACCACTGATGACTATTTACCATATCTTGGCCGAGTGGCGGCAGCGAGTCGAGTTCACTGAGGTCATCCTGGGCCTGCTGGACAGCATGCATGCTTGTGTTGATGGTTCCCATAAGGGCCTGCTGGGCTGAGGTCTGCAAAGGCAGATGAACCAAAAGGCAGTTAACAGCACTGGGGACTGACAGGGTGTCCATTCAAAGCAGAGCAAAGCTGAACTTGCTCAGTCAAGAGCATGTCTCACTATGTATCTGAACTAGCTCCCATTTCAACCTGGGGGCTAGACATAGATAGCACATTATATTAATAGAACACGAGGGGAAGGTGATTGCAGTGGAGGGATCTTAACTAGAAGAGGGTGGAGAGCTTAATTAGCAGACAAGAAAGCTGACAACTGTCTTCACAGACACTGATCTGAGTATTGAGGATAAAAGATCTCATGCATAGAGCACATGTGGCTGTTGAAGAATGTATCTTAATTAGCACTTAAAGACCCTGCCCCAATTACTGCTAACATGCTTTTACAGTCAAATTATTTCTGAGTTTTGGTACTCTTGAAGATTCTCAAGGCAAGCCTGAGAGATACTGAGTCAGACAGATTAGAAAGAAATCAACAAGCCCAGAGTGAAATGCAGATCACTAACAACTGGCCTGTTTCTCAGATTTTATAAGGGTACCAGGACCAATCAACTTGAAGCCACTGCAGGGACAAAGGGTTTCAGCTCTAGAGCACAAAGAGGTCTGTGATAGTTAATCTTCATTGTCAACTTGAGGGGATTGAGAATCACCTTGGAAACAAATCTGCAGGCAGTCTGTGAAGACGTTTCTAGCCTGGGTTAACTGCAATAGGAAGACCCACTCTAAATGTGGATGGCATCATTTGATGGGATGGGGACAGAATAAGAAAGAATGAAAGCTGAGCACCAGCACTCATCCCTTTCTCCTTCCTGACTTGAGACACAATGTGACCAGCTGCCTCAGGCGCTTGCCATCATTCCTCCTTCAACATGATGGACTGTGCCTTCAAAATGTTAGCCAAAATAGACACTTCTTTCCTTAAGTTGCTTTTGTCAGGTGTTTTGTCACAAAATGAGAAAAGCAACTAAATACAAAGTCCCTCACCATCCAGCCATTAATCCTAGAAAGGAGCGATCAGTCATCCACTTAAAGGAATGAGCAGTTGACGAGCTGTGGGTCAGATGAGCACTATAGAATTCCCACACAGAACCCGGCAATGTTGCTGCTGGCCCTGGAGATTAACACACTGAAGAGCAGGAAGCCTCACCAGTGGAGGCATGTGGCCTCGATGCATCTGTCCGACCATGACCTGCTGCTGTGGTGAGGGCATACTGCCAACGTTGAAAGTCTCGGGCCCACTGGAGCCAGAACGCATGACAGCCGGCAGTGCTACTGAACCATGTTCTGCCTTCCCAGTCCGGTTGAACTGCTGCTGCAAGATGGTGGACCTATGAGAGAGATGGCTGGTCACTGGGAGGTAGTAGTACACTCACCCAAGAGTAGTAGGGTGAGATGTACCCACAGACGCCCGCTGCTCTGGGTGCTGGAGGCCATTTGAAAGAGGTACACACAGATGGGCATGGGAATGAAATAGTAGTACTAACATGCTCAGCAGAAGTAATCCGAGAAGAATTCCTTCTGGACTAGTCAGTTTACCACTGAATATGTTCAGGGAATCACACAATTCATTGTCTTAACTCACTAAACAAGGAGCTGGAGAGATGGCTCTGAGTGAGTGACTCAGGTTCAGTTCCCAACACCACAGACAACTCACAACCATCTATGACTCCAGTTCCAGGGGTTCTGATACCCTCTTCTGACCTCTACAGACAGTGCACTCACATGATGCACATAAATACACGCAGGCAAAACAATCATACACATAAAATTAAAATAAAATCTTAATGTGATATTCCGATCACAATGATGCTCTCAGGGAAGGCTTGAAACCCCTCATCTATTGCTTGGTAAATCAGGACTGAATGACTATTTCTCAACATGTGTCTATCCCAAGTCAGTTTCAATTCTAACCAGAGAAGGTGCCATTTATCCTTGCTATGGTGGGAGAAAGGTGCAAACAAATTTAAGGAAAACTTTACACAGTTCAAACGCACTGACCATTTCTGGAGGCTTGAAAGACTTTTGCATCTTTTCCAATGATTTAAACTACAGATTAGGAAGACTTAAATACTTTATAACTTCTAGACTTTTTTTAAATGAGTGAGAATTAAGTGCAAAGGACTTTGATCATGTGAAAATAAGAATATGGATGGAGGGTAGCTCTTTTTCAGGAACCAATGGAGAAATCCACAAGGGCGGGGACTGTCTGGGGGAGCCTAGGCATGCCAGTGGCAGGACACAGGAGGAGGGCTTTTGTCTCAAGAGGCAGGGACAATCCTAGACCATCCCATGCCCAAGGTAAGGCACGACCAAGTTGGCACCCCAAGCAAAAAACATCTGTAGGGAGACAAAATTGTGTGTAGGGAAAGGCAGAAGTTAATGCAGAGAATTGTAACTGATGAAAGCATTGAGAATAACTGACTGTTGAGTGCTCAGCTCTAAATGATACATCTTTATCACCCCCTCTAAGGCTCACAAAAGAGCATACAAGAGGGGTGGAAAGAATGTAAGAGCCAGAGGATGGGGAGGAGTGTATGAAATACTATCTTCTGGATATGACATGGCGTTTATACTCATGAACTCACAGCAACCATGGTTACCTGAACATGATAGAGCCTGTCAACATTTTAACATGGATGGGGAGGGGCTCATGAGGCCCCACCCCTAGCTAAGGAGTTACTGACTGCTAGGGGATGGGGGGGGAGTAAATTTCTTCAGTATTGTAACCATTGAGAAGTTGCAATGCTCCAGCAAATAATCCCATTCTCATGGTCATAAAAACAACCTCAATTAAGTTCAGTGGGTCATTAAAAAAGAGATATCAAAGTAGGAGGGGGCCTTATTGGGAAGAAGGAAGGGTTCAGAGGGAGGAGAAAGGAGATAAAGGAGGGCAACAGTGGAGGATCTGATCAAAAAACATATTTATGTGAAGTAGCCAAACAATAATACAAAATACTTTCTAAAATGTGTGCAGAATAGAGGAGGACACTAGGGAGACTGAGTTCAGGGGCTGCATTCTGATACCTCAATCAAAGACCACATGGGGAGAAGTGGGAGATCTAGGGATAAGATCCTCTGGCTCATTTTTCCTGCATCTCTTGACTAAAACCCATGATGACTTCCTCACAGGGGAGAAAGTCTCAGTGGTCCCAGGCAGGCTGAACCCTGGCACTCTGTGCTCCCACACATTCTGGGCTCTTCTTGTGGGTATACAAATGCAGCAGAGTCTTCTCAAACAGCTCACTCTGGTGTGAAGCACTACCATAATAACTCCTATCTAGTGGGCGTTAGTAATTCTAAGGACTTAAGATACTGCAAGAACATACCATGTTCTTGAAATGTACTATATCCAGTTTGGTTCCAACCTGTGTACTTATAAGGAAACAAATGGAAAAATACTTTCAGACTGATTAGGAAGCTAATTGCAAGAAAGTAACAAATAAGGAGAAAATGCTATGTCAAAAATTCCATGGCTAAGTCAGTTCATTATGTTGGCATATGCAAGAGCTTCCTGGCAGTGTACTATGAGAAATGCTGTAGTATCTGTCTAAACTGTGGCTCTAACATACATGTGTATCTCATCTGAATTCATGGTCTTTGGTTTCTTTCTCCATAAACTTTGGGTGGCAATATCTCCCTTCCTCTTAAATAGGGCAGTTGTTGTTGGGATCAAATGAGACAGCATGATGGACACACAATAAAAATGTAGACAAAAACAGTCACCACAAAGTGCTGTTTAACATAAAAGGAGTATGTGTATGGATTTCTACAAATATAATTTACTAGATGTTCTCTATTTTGATTAAATAATTTTCTCACTGATAAGATAACAAGTTCTGAATTTCAAAACTCTTTTTTTTTTTTTGGTCTTTTTGAGACAGGGTCTCCCTGTAGCCCCAGCTGTCCTGGAACTCACTATGTACACAGGCTGGCCTTGAACTCACAGAGATCCGCCTGCCTATGCCTCCTGAGTGCTGGGATTAAAGGAATGTGCCACCACTCCTGGCTCAAAACTCCTTTTTTAAAGATTTATTTTTATGGGGCTGGAGAGACAGCTCAGCAGTTAAGAGTACTAGTTGCTCTTGCAGAACACACAGGTTCAGTTCCCAGAACCCACATGGCAGTTAGCAACAGTCCTTAACTTCAGTTACAGGTGATCAGACACCCTCTTCTGGCTTCATCAGGCATTGCATACAGGGATACACTTAACATACAAGCAGGCAAAACACACCCATTTAAAAATATATAAATATCAAGCTGGGCGTGGTAGCCCACGCCTTTAATCCCAGCACTCGGGAGGCAGAGGCAGGCAGATCTCTATGTGTTTGGGTGTTAAATTGACAAGGGTGGACTCCTGATGGTTAATCTTCATTTTCTTTTTAAAAAATTTCCTTATTTTTACTTTTTATGTGTATGAGTGTTATGCCTGCGTGTGTGTAAGTACACCTGTGTTGTGCAGTGCCCAAGGGGGTCAGAAGATGGTATCAAATCCCCTGGAACTTAAGTTGTGATTGTGAGTTCACTGATGTGGATGCTGGGAACCAAACTTGAGCCTTCTGCATGAGCAGCAAACACTCTTAACAGCTGAACTATCTATCATCTTAACAGATGATAATCTTTTTTAAAAAAATTTATTTTTTTTATTTTATATGTATGCGTGTACTGCCTACATGTAGGTAAGTGCACCTGTGTTGTGCAATGCCTGCGGAGGACAGAAGATCCTCTGGAACTGGAGTTATGAACAGTTGTTAGCTGCCATGTGGGTGCTGGGATTCGAACCTGGGTCTTCTGCAAGAACAGTCAGTGTTCTTAAACCACTGCGCCATCTCTCCAGTCCACAGATGATAATCTTAACAACAGCATATACAATGTGCCAAACATTGTTTTGTGGGCATTATTAGTGACTCCATCATCAAAACAAAATGTACAAGGTGGTACTATTATGATTCCCAATTTGTATGGGCTCATGAGGAAGAAAATTCGGGGCCACAGCAAAAGAACAGACCCTAGGTCCGAACAAGCAAGGCTCCTGAGAGGAAGTCCTTAAACCCGCCTGTTTGCAGCCCCATAGCCTGTGAGAGGAGTGTGGTGTGCAGCAAATGCTTTGCAGGTAGTTGCTCCTCTATTGGCTGACCCCTGAGAGCCAAGACCAGGCTCAAATAAAAGCCACTTTATAGATTTTGATGTACTAACTAATCCCTAAGATTTATATCAGTAATACAGAATGGGACTCGGGAAGGCTGATGGCCTCCAAAGATGGAGCGCCCTCCACAAAATCCTCAGTACCCACAAAGGACACCTGTTACACCCACACTGTTGATCTAGGGGCCATAACTGGAAAGCAAGCTTTGACTAACCCATCATCATCTCACTTCAGGAGAAGGCAGATCTCCAACACAGTGGATACTTACTTTTTTGGGGAAACTGACTCTTCTAACATAGTTGACTCTTCATCGCCTTCCAGCCCAAATCTATCTTTGCTTTGTTTCTGGAGGTGAAACAAGATAGAACAATGAACATCACAAACCTTAATATGGGACCTCAGAAAGGAACCTGGAAGGAACACAAACAAAAACATTCAAGTTTATCCCAAATTCCTTGTATTGGTTTTTTAATGAGTGATGGTTGAAAAAAAGTGTGGCACCAATAAAGTAGAAATCCATGACTTGGTATACAGACATTTTAAGTCCTGTCTTTATCATTGTGGGTGTACACAGCTAAATGTCAGGCACACTTATTAACATTATATCAGAATATAGTTGTTTGAATGCCAAGGTTGGGAAGCCTTAAAAAGTCCGTTTTTCTGTATATCACAATGGCATAGTGTCATTATGCTTAGAAAGAACAAAAACTCACAAAAACTACAATGAACACTTTTAGTCTATCTAACCTTGAATTTCTACAAAGACAGGAAATCAAAATAACTATCTAGGGAAGGAAGATATTGAGGGGTCAGCTCACAAGAGCCACGCTGTCCTAGTTTTAAAAATCAACTTGACACAACTTTGAAATCGCCTGAGAGAAGAGCCTTGGTTGATAAATCCCCTCTATCAAACTGGCCTGTGAGCATGTCTGTAGGAGATTGTTCTGTTAATTGAAGTAGGAGGGCCCAGATCACTTCGGGTGGTACCATTCCCAGGGCAGGTAGTTCTGGGCTGTATTAGGAACTTAGCTGAGCATGAACCTATGCAAGCCATCAAGCAGCATTCCTTCATGGTTTCTGATGTACTTCCTTGGCTCTGATTCCCTGGCTACAGGTACTGCTGTGTGGAAAAGCCCGCCGGCCTGCCACCAAGTTTCTGCTTGAGTTCCTGCCCATACTTCCCTCCATGATGGACTGTGATCTAGAAGTGTAAGCCAAATTAACTCTTTTCTCCCTTAAGCTGCTTTTGGTCAGAGTGTCTTATCATAGCAACAGAAATCAAACTAAAACACAGACCACTGCTCCTTACACAGTAGTAATTGATACCAATATGTGCTTTGGCAAAATCAGAAATCCACAGATGAAAGCAAGGTCAGAGATCTTGTACTCAAGAAACTTTAACACCGAGATTCAATTTGTCAATCAAACATTTCAAATAAGGGTTTCCCTCAACACGGCTACATCACTAAGCCTTGCACCAAAGCAGCCTTGATTTTCTTGGTTTGTGTCGATGCGACGTACCTTTTTTAGGATGATGTCGATGTATCCTGCAATCAGCTGGGATATTTGCTCCCCCTCAGTGGTTTGTACTGAATAGTAGCTTTCCTGGTACTCCCCAAAATCCTAAAAGAATGACATTAGAAGAAACACATCTGACTCAGATCTACCTGGCACCTTAAGGCCTAGAGTTCAGCTCTAGAGCTGTGTGACACAGGCTCACTTTTCTCTGTTTTCCACTCTATGGAAAAACAGAACACCAAAAATTTATTCTATAATGGTAAAAAAACAAAAAACAAAAACAACAAAAAACTGGAGTTGGTGAGATGGCTCTTGCAGCCAAGCCGTGAATACTTGAACTCAATTTTTGGAACCTACACGGTAGAAGGAAAGAATCGACTTCAGCAAGTTGTCTTCTGACCTCCACATATGTAGCTACACACACACACACACACACACACACACGCACACACACATT